GGGGTCTTTAAGAGGAGGCTGGATGAACACCTTGCTGGGGTTGTTTGACCCCAGTACTCTTTCCTGCCATGGCAGGGGGTCGGACTTGATGATCTGCTCAGGTCCCTTCTGACCCTACTAACTAACTAACTAACTATGCAGTTTTCCTTGTTTGAGGACCTGGTTAGAAACAGCCTTAAGAATGCAACCCCAGCTTTGTAGTCTGCGGATAATAAAATGCTACCTTTGTTTGGAGGGCCTTGACGGAAAGTTTTTTCAAAAAAAAGTAGAGTTTAACTGAAGGTAAAAAAGAAGCAGCATCTGATCAGGTCAAAATGCTTGGACTATGCATTACTGTTCTCCCCAGTTGCAATCGTTACAGGCAATCAAAAGTGCCGAATGCAGCCTACATAGTACCAACACACAATCCATGACTGCGCTCCCTCTGTAATGGTGAACAAATAGGTGCACTTTTATTGCTGGTAATACTACAAAGGCCAACCAGAAATTAATACCTCCTAATTTTTAACTCCTAAGCAAGCCATGGATATGGGAGGGTGTTCTTCTTCTTGATTTCTTGCCTAAGGGAGCAACAGTAAATTCAGAGGTCTACGTCAAGATCGTTAAGAGACAGAAACATTGAATGCAAAGAGCCTGATCCAAGAGACATGTCTGGGGTGCTACTTCTACCTGACAACACTTGCCTACACACTGGCTCGCATACCACAGAGGCAAGCTTATCATTTTGGGTGGACTGGGTTGCCCCACCTGGCACACAGCCCAGAGGATGAGGGACAGACTATGAGGGCGACACTTTCAGGATGACAAGGAAGTGATGGAGCGTGTGAGACAGTGGCTGCTCAACAAAGAAAAGGACTTTTACAATGCTGGTACACATGCCCTTGTTCACCGGTGAAAAAGCCACTGACAGACAAAAACTCTACGCTGAAAAACAGCTGTGTGTTCAGTGATGATGTATACATTTTCTGTGCAAGTTTAATATTTTTTCAATACTATTTGGTTGGGAAAACAAATAGGAGGCACTACTTTCTGACTGAGCCTCATACCAATAACAAAAAGCCCCGTCTTTACTGATTAAGGAAGATGCAAGCACCAGTGTGTTGCAGCATGTGGATCTACTTGTGCCATCTCACAGGAGAAGTGAGGAGGCTTAGTTAATAATGTCTATGCAGTGCTTTCAAAACCTACAGCCTTGCCTACATTACACCCAAAACATGTTCCATTACAGCTGGTACTAATGCAGCTCCCTGAGTGGTAGTAAGAATGGAAATGTAGTCAAGGGACTGTTAGCTGCTGACTTTTTAGCCATCCTGTGGTCTAGACCCACTCTGAAGTTTAACACTGGTTAAAACACCTACAGGATGAGATAAAATCTAATCAGGATATCAGCAGAGGATGCCGTGAGAAGCAATATCTGCAGACAGTTTTTAAAGGAACTAAGTCAAATGAAAATCTGGCTCAGTAGAGTCAACTGATGCCACTGAAAAAAGATTAGTAGAAAATTAGTTCAAGAAGATACAAATATTTTTAAAGCAATTAAAATGGGAATTTGGAAATATGATGAAACAACCTGCTTCCCCACCAAAATAGGTAGGGTTTAAATTACTTAAAATGGAGGGACTTGTTAAGCCATACCTGTCACAAAACTTATTGGCACTTACTACCACAAGTCTTTTCCCTGCAAATGAGTTCAATGTGGTTTCTTTTGACTCTTAATTCACTCTAATGCCTTCTTTACAATTTATTCAGATTTCTGACAAACCAAAGTACATATTTAAAGTGGGCATTTATTTAAAGATTAGATCAATCAAATTTGAAATCAGAACATAGTGACACCATCTGGTAAGAGCAAAATTGTGATACAACCACAAAATATTTATATGTCACAGGACTGGCACCAAAATGCCCCGTTCCCATCGGGAAAACCTTAGGAACTCAAAGGCACTCAACAACTAGCACATTTTAGCAAGGCCTGGACTATAAATGGGGAAGTTATAGTTACTTTAAGCTCAGCCAAGGGACAGTCTTACATAGTTATAATTAGAAAACACAGGGCCTTTCCTCTCAGATCAGTTTTATACTAGGATCACTCCATTATGGTGCTGTTCCTCATTTATGCAAGCCTAGGTGAGAGAAGAATGAGGCTACTATGCTGGACAGCACACTTCCGTCGTGACCACAGACACAAGATGGTTTAGGTAGGGTATTTTTAAACACGCATACATAAAAACAGGACTATAATTTGTAAAAGTTACTGATGACAGTCCCTAATTGCAGATCAGGCACTGCAAGTAACTGCAACTGGGATGTAATGAGAGTCTGAATAAAACGCAAGGTGGCCCAGACTCTGCACAGCTTTGAAGACCTGGGAACTAAGATGCTACAGAGCAGGGGTGGGCAGGCTGTAGTAAAGGTGCCACAAATGGCATGGGCAGTCTGTGTGTGGCACACAGCAGATCAGGAAGGGGACAGGCAGCAGATGGCCAGATAGGCCAGGAAGCAAAAAGCAGAGCAGCAAATTGGACAGACAGCATAGAGCAGGGAACAGAAAGCAGAGCATCAGGAAGAAGGGGACTGGAGTAGCACTTGGAAAGGATGCGGGACTGGGTTGTCGCAAGCCTGCCAAAAAGGCTGGTCCTCACTGCTACAGTCACCGCAATATTTCCCTCATTCTTTGGTTTTGGAAAAGCATGATTCTGTGAACTCTTCATGCTTTTTGGACCAAATTTAAATGTAGTTGGCTTTCAAGCCTCTAGCCTTAACATCATTACTAAAAGTTTCTTAGAAACAGTTGCAAATGCACCAGCTGCTCTTATGGCTTACTCCCGAAATAGTGAAAGTTCAGCAAATTAATGTGGAAGATTTATTACAAAACTAATACAGAACTGGCAGCTAAAGTAATCCCCTCAAAGTAACATCAGTCCTGAATCAATCACAAAAAATAAATTCCAGTTGTATCACACAGGCATATATTTATGGAAAGGGTTAGGAGAAAAGGTATGCAAAACATTAAAATTAATTCATGCTTACCCATTACAGCCAATGACTTTATTATACAGATAAGAAGGGAGCCCTTTCAGGTGAATGTTGTTATCCACATAAACATATTGCAGCTCCCGTGAACGACCTAAATCTGGGTTTAGAAGACAAAGAGGGGGAGAAACATGAAGTAATGACAACTCTGGGCAAAAGCTATTTAAATCAGAATAAGCTGACTAGACTCAATGTAAACGAACATGAAATATTACTCTTCAACAGTTAAATTTGATTGACTGAATTATTTATGAAAAGAAAATCTGTGGAAAAAGTATGTTAAAGGGTACTTAAAAGTTTAAATTATTTTTTAAAAAAAAACTTTAACCCCCTTTCCAACCTTTCTAAAAACCCCTATATAAGGGACATATCCCTGTGAGAATGAGCTTCATTAAACCAAATCTAACGTCATTTTGAAAAGCCAAATGCCTGCTGGACTCAAATATCTCTAGCAGATACTTTAAAAATCCCAGGTCAAAACCTCTGCTAGTGTGAATTTGTGCAGCTCCATTGAAAGCAGACATGCACCAATTTTGAGAAGCAGTTTGCCACCCCCCACCCCGCTGTGGGGCTGTGCAAAAGAGTATGGCAATTTAATGTCATTCATGATATCTATTGCAAGTAGTAGTCATTCAAAAACAGCTTTGCAGACTACACAGAAGATGCAGAATAAAAGATAATGACGGGTGATTATTATGCTATTGAAAAGATGTTCACTTTTTCTCCTACTGACAAAACGCTAAACAACATTTGGATATGGTTATGGGTAAGCTATCAATACATTCTGAGCACTGTAACATCTTCCCATAAAGATCAGACAGAGGGGTTGGCTAGGGAAAATGTTTAAGAGTCAAATGAGCGCAACACGGATAAAGAATATCTAAGGGGAAGGAGATATGCTAACTACATACAGATATTTAAAGGTGGTGAATGCCTAGCAAGAATGAATGAATTTAGTCTGGGATGCAAAAGATAGAAGTAGGAGAAATGTGATGAAGTTGAGGGAGAAAATTACGTTTTTGTCATCAGCAAGATGTCTTCATCTGGGGAAGTCTCCCAAAGGGAAGTAGTGAAAGACTCACTAACCCAAGACATTTAAAAACAGATAGAACAAAACGCTAGAAAACAGTTCAATGAAACAATCCGGAACAGACAGAGAGACTGATGTAGCTGATCTAAGTGCTCACGCTTTTCTCTAAGGTCTGTGCTTTCCAAGTATTATATTCACACTCAATTACAAACATCTCAAATAAATGAAAAGCACAGAACGAAGCAACTTCGGTTTCTACTGGAAGGGTCATTTACTTGTAAAGGCAACTCTATAGACCAGTCCAAAATGCATTTTAAATAGGTCAGTATGACTCCAGCATATTCACTAGGGGTATAAGCACTATGGATTTAGAAATTAAAGCAAGCTGAACTAGTGCTTGATTGAAAACGCAAAGAATTCGCCAAGCTGAAAGCTTACACTGTCTGAGACACCCTAACTTTCCATCTTTACCAACTGGCCATAAAATACTGTATAAAGGAAGTCTCAGCAACTATGCTGCTAGTCCCCGTTTCATAAGTAGAACTATCACATCAAGAGCAGAGTAACAAGTGAAAACATTTTCTATTATGTCGCATTCAGTTACAGCAATGGTGAGCAAAATGCAGCCCAAGGGCTGGACGTGGCCCACCAGGCCATTCTGTCTGGCCTTCAGGACCCCTAAAAAAAGTAGAAAATTAATATTAATCTGCCCTGGGCTGAGAGTGAGTGTCCTAAAATTTAGTATGGAACCAAAGTTACAAGCTAGCCTGGAAATGTCCCTTTTCTACATGCAATTATGAAGCAACCGTAAGGAGCAGAGGTGCACTGATATATAGGTGGCCTATCAGACCAACGCCAATAAAAGGGGTATTTATATTACTGGCTACCGGCTTTTTTTGGCCGTTGTAGCCAATGATGTTCTCTGATACTTATGCCTTGTGCCCCAGATGCCTGGGTTCCCTCCCATAAGCTGGGGTGACCCCAGATACACCCCCATCCCCTCACTGGCAAGCCAGGCTGGAGCAGAGCAGCAGTAGCAGTGGCTCAGGTGCTGGCGCAGTGCAGCACGGCACAGACTGCGGGCTGGGGTGGGTGCTGTAAAAGGCACCGCCGAATGCTGCAGACGTGACTGGGGTGGGTAGAGCTGAGCGGCCTGGCCCAGCCCAGCGTGACTAAACCCACAGTGCCTGGGGGTCTGTGATGCAGGGGCCAGGACAGAGTCTGGCAAGGGCCAAGACAGCCTCTCCTCTACCTACTGTCAGAACTGCTCAGGCTCCGGTCCCTCCCCAAGCACAGCAGCACATGGAAACGCAGCCCCTCCCAGGGTGCACAACAGCAGCGGAGTCCCATGTGCTTTGTGCCTGGCTGCACTTGCCACCAGTTGGGGGCAGAGGGGGATAAGGGGTAGGGCAGAAGCTGCAGGGCATCCAGAGTGGGGGGAGCAGCTGCTGTGGGTCCGACTCTGGCTCCAACTCAGGCTCAGGTCCGGAGCGGGAGCTGCAACAGCTGCCTGCCCCTCTCCCCCAAATCTGAGAGGAGGGGGCTCTTGCTCCCCCCATCCACATTGGAGGTGCTCGTTTTACATCCACGGCTGGGGTAGGCGCTGCCTCATGGGGGATGAGGTCCCTCACAGCTGCACCCCTCCACAAGCCACGGTCTGGCTCCTGCACCCCAGCGCCAGTGCTCAAGCCCCTCTCGTGGGCAGGCGACCAGAGGCAGGACGAGCGCTCTGAAGGAGAAAGGGGGAAGGCAGCAGTTCCCCCACAACTCCCTTCTCCTTTCCCCGGGCCACACACACGCCACTGCCCCAATGAGCTCAGGGGAGACTCTACTCCCCCTGCCCCATAGCCACTCACTGCCCCAGGCAGCTGCCCTCCCCGCTCTGTGCAGCAGGATTTTTCCTCCGACCCCTCAGCCCAGCTGGGTCCTGCCCTTCCCAGGTCAGTCCCCTGGCCCAGCCCTGGGCAGAGGGAGGAGAGTGGGGAGCCTGGACCAGAGACCACTTAGCCCTGGGCAGCCAGGCATGCTCAGGCAGCTGCCACCAGGCTGGGGTTGAAGGGCTCTGCACAGCCAGTCGCAGGCACTGATAGGCTAGCCGTGCCTGCTGCAATGGGCACAGGCACTTTTACACGTGCTGCAGGAGTGGCAGGGTGGCGCTTTAAATACAGTAGCTCCGAGAGCTGCTCTAATTAAAGTGCCACTGTGCCTCTTGTATCAGTATCCCCACGCTTAAGAAATGGCACTAAGTACACTAAATACTGGTTTTTGGATCAGTATCAACAGAACAAGAACAAGGAGCAATAGTCTCAAGTTGCAGCAAGTGAGGTTTAGGTTAGATATTAGGAAAAATTCTCTCACTAGGAGGGTGGTAAAGCACTGGAACAGGTTACCTAGATAGATGGTGGGATCCCCATCCTTGGATGATTTTAAGACCTAACTAGACAAAGCCTTGGCTGGGATGATGTAGTTGGGGCTGGTCCTGCTTTGAGCAGGGGGTTGGACTAGAGGACCTCCTTCTAACCCTAATTTTCTATGACACTATGATTCTATGATATGGCTGGTAAATAATTAGCTATTGGTATCGGCCAAAACATTTTTTCTTATTGGGGTGCACCAATAAAGGCTCAACATCAAGGCTTTTAGACATTTCTTTAAAGAAAATTTATCTCATTTTAAAGCACTGCTTTCAGTCCAGAGTGGTAATTTTCGCATCAACAAAAATATCAGAATATAGAGATAAGGGTCAGGGAATGGTCCACTGGAAGGAAAAATTGTTTGCAGGGCAGCTAGGAATGGAAGCAGGAAGAGCCAAAGGGCAGGTCTGTAAAGGGGAGAAGAAAGGCAAGGAAATTCCTCAAGCTATATAATCTGCCTTTTCTGAATGTGAGTTTGACAGTCTAACTTGGGGGCAGGCAATTTTTTTGGGCGGAGGGCCGCTTACAGAGTTTTGGCAAGTCATCAAGGGCTGCACGACAGGCAGCCAGGGGCAGGTAAATACTATTTTTCTAAATTTTTAGGAGCCCCGCGGGCCATATAAAATGGCCTGGCAGGCCACATCCGGCCCACGGGCCGCATTTTCCCAACCCCTGGTCTAACTGATATCCTTCTTACCTAGGGAGAGACTTGTTTGAAGGTTGGACTATACGTGCTGGTGCTAGGCAGAAAAATACCGGACTCCCTTTTTGGAAGAAAATTGTCAGCATGTGATTTGACTTAATCTATTTATTACATTTATATGGGGCCTTGTCCTGCATTAACTTGACAATGGGAATTCTGCCAGAGACTTCAGCTGAACCAAAAGTGGGACACCATTTGAATGGGCGCCATTGAACATCACAGGATACTTGCAGCCTGGCCTGAAAACCTGAAGTGCGGTGCTGCCGTGCACTGTAAAAGAACAAACATGTCGAAAGGTAGTTTACACTACACCACGATAGGTAGTTTGTTAAAGGTTCCAGGATATTTTTAAATGAAACAAAAAATAAAGATAGGTCAACAATGTAAAATACTGTAGCACTAGAAGAGAGGCAGCCAATAAAGTAGGAACATAGAGAAATATTGCAGCACATAATAAAAAGAGCTGAAAAAAATACTGCCTGGTGCTGTAGATCCCAGTTAATAAGCACAGAAAACTCTGGGCTGCTGATGTTGCTTGAATGTGCTATTGTTTTATGCTACTGATCTTGGAGAGAAAGGAAGAACATTCAAAAAAAGGTCTTGTTTTTATTAATTTATATACAGACACATATGGGACCCAAATTAGGTCATGATCAGGACCTTTTTACTTTTTCTTTTTCTTTTTTTTTAAATAAGCATGCTCTCTAAAGCTGCACTTTTCACAGACAAGTCTAAAAAAGGGGTGATGCATTTCACCTCTCCCTGCTGCCTTTAATCACCCTCTGCCTGGACGCTTATTTATATTTTAAGCTCTTCCTCATACAGAACGGCCTTTCTAGAGCACTGTTGAGCACTTTCAGGTACTACAAGAATTTTAATATACTCTTCAGAGTTTCTTTGCATTAATAGCCTTACAACAATTTTCCAATTCCCCCCAATCAGGGGAGCTATAC